AGTTTATAATGAGTAACTCTGGGTCTATCAGCATCAAGGGGCTAAAAAAAATGCCCAAAATGAACCAAAGGAAACAATCTCCTATCCTCCTGTATCTTTTTCTGTTTCCTTTTCTTTTTTTTCTCAGAGATCTGTAAGGCAGACCCTCGGAAAGGTGTCAGTATAAAGCCACTGCTGGCAAAAATAAAAGGTATTTCCTTCCTAAAAATTAGCAAGCCTTCTCGAGTGTTGACTCTTAACACTTGGTACTCTACTTCTGTTCTTCTGACAATACTGCAACAATCTTTTTAAAAGTAAGCCAGTAATTTGGATTGTCAAAAGTTCATGTTCCTATATCACTAGAAGTGAAATCCACTCCTAAAAGGTTCACGCATAAGGGAAGCGACTTAATTTTAGCATGTGCTGGAAGACATGCCGAACAGCTGGTACGAAAAAATCACCTTGGCCAGAGCTCGCGTTCACGTCACCTCCTTCGGGGCCTAAGCCGGAGCAGATGTCAGAAGACAAAGAGGCTTTGACAGAGCACGGCTGCTGTGTCTGAACAGCCTTCCCAAAGGCGGCCGAGGCAGGGGAAGTTACTGCTGCTGCTTCAGGAGCTCCAGGCTGAGTTTTAGTTGTTTCTTTGTGGGGTGAGTCTTTAGAGTCTGAAAGATTACCTGAAACAGCAAACAAACAAAATACATGCAACAGCAAATGCTAGGAATCACCAAATGGAAATCTGTGCAAGGGGAACAGTGGTTTACAAGGCTGGAGTACTGTATGAAGCACGGGCTTTACGGGTAGCCTACACCAGAAAATAATCTACACATACTAGTGTTGATCCAGTTTCTCCAAGAAGCTTATGGAGTAGGCTTGATTTTTACAGTTTCTTCTCCGCATTTTTCAGAAAAGTTGGAGTCAGGACCTCACAAGGAGTGCTGCTGAAATAAAGTGAGAGCTGCAAGAGTGCCTAAGTAGGAGGCTGAATACACAGAATGACTGAGCAGAATACGTAGGTTTGCTCTTAAATATGGAAGGTGAAAGCAAGCAAATGGAGAGAAATAAAAAGTTGCGGTAAAGACATGAGGAACTTTATTGACAGCTATCTATATACAGATATATATCTATATATAGATAACATCAGTATCTGTACCTATATATCTGTCTACACGGGTATCACAGGTGAAGAGGTTTTACCACCAGAATACCTTGGTAATCATTTGTTACATACATTTATCAGCAAAAGCATCTACCACTGGAAGTGACAATTATGTCAGTAACCGCATTAGAAACTGCCTGCCCTTGATCCCTGAGAAAGGACGTAGGAAGGCCAAAAAATGAGGAATCTACATAGTCAAGGGTGAGAAGACTCAGGCAGGAGTACAGATTCTCAAAGATAATATGAACTTTACACAGTGCCTCAAAAAAATGGAGAATAACACAGAAGAAATGCATGAAGGAAAGCATGCACCAAAGCAGCAGTCTGACTGAGCAGATTTCTGTTCTCTAACTGAAGGTGACAAGAAAAAAAGAAAAAAGAAGGAGAATTGGGACATTTTATGCAGAAATAAGCTTAAATTTTTTGGACTAGGGTAGCACACTGATACGAGCCAAGATCCATGAGTGGAGACAGATGTGGGTTTTGTGAACAGAGGGGAAAAACGGCTAGCGAGAACCCAAGAACAAACTGGGAAATGAATGGAGCAAGGATAACTGACATTCAGAGTATCTCATCACAAGGAAAGGGAGTAAAACCTATGCACATCAGCCAAGCAGCAGCTGAAGAGGTATAAAGCATTGACCACTGCTTCAGTTCCTGTAGGCAAGAATACTGAGATTCAAGATGGATCACAGAACATCTTGCCTCTGAATATCTTTGCTTTTCCTATCTCAGTTGAAATCCTTAATTAAAAGGAAAAACCTCCAAAACACTCTAAGATTGATGCAATGAAATTCAAAGTGGACCTATGATGCAGTGACTTTGACAACAAGAGCTATCAGGTTTGAAATACCGGGTTAGTGCTGGAAGTGCCGCTGCGCTCCTCTAAGTAACAGTATGAACTAAGTTGAAGAAAAATTATTCATGTTCTATCCCACATTTTACTGAAGAAAGAGGTACTGGGGTATATTAACCTTTCCCAGTTGAATTATATCTTTATACTTTCCAAAGAGATAATGACTCAAGACCATACTACTGTTTGAAAAAATCTCAAACTACTTCAGATGGTCAAAGCAGCCATCACAGTTTTATAACTGTTTTTACCTCCCATCCTTTGGGGGAGCAAATGCAATCCAATCTTATTTATACGGCACCTTGTAGGAAAAAACAAACAACAAGATACAGCACGTAATCAATAGAGGATGACAGCACCTGAGAAGTAGATACAAACATCAATAAATTGCATTTGGAGAAAGGATGAGAAAATGTAACCAGGCTGTATTCCAAATTAAAGTGCAATATTGTTTCTCTGCCAAGCATTGTAACTGATGCAGAGCAGGTATGTGTGGTTCAGCACCGGGCAGCCGTTATAATCCCACGCCACAGGAAACCCACTTCAAAAACTGTTTGCAGTACGCCAACTTGAGTCAGAGTATTACAAACAACAAAAATTCAGTGCCATTCCTGCAGACCATGCAATTACACAGCAGAACCACAACTGAGACAATCAAGCGTATGGAGAGCAATCTAGTGTACCTACTTGTGCTTGATGTTCCACTCCTGAGCTGCTGGACCAGAGGGTTTAATAGTTTTCCACCTTTCAATTTATTTTTGCTGGTTCTTCGGCGACGGCTGCTTGGTGGGGCTGAGTGAAGGAACCCCAGGTTGGGAGGAAGGGGTTTCCCTAACCGAATATACAGTGCCTCTATCTCATTCTTTTGCTGAGTCTGAAGTTCAGCAATTTCTTTCATATGCCTAAACACAAAAAATAAAGAACTCTGCTAGCGATGTATTTGATGAAGCACCATATCTTGACAGCATAATTAGTTGTAAAAAAAGAAACAAAACAGTCTTTGGTTATAAAACAATCAACTGCTCATCCCAAAAGTATGTGAAATTATAACAATCTACCTGTGGTGACTGACTTCTCAAACATTAATTTCTAAGACAGAATCCTAGACAGCTAAAAAGATTGTCAACATCCTCAGTAAAAACAACTGATTTTGACATGAGATCTGACAGAAACGCCAAACTATTCCAGAATTTCTCTCTTCAAACCAGTGGCTTCAAAAAAAGTTAACTCTCAAGGTAAGTACTTCAGTTTGAAGGAGTTCAACATGAAGAAAACCAAAAGTGCTTCCCATAAAAATGCCATTAGCACATGAATCATTATTTATAATGCAGTTTTCATAATGCCATAAAGTCAGTTTAAAGGTCTTGTATTACTGTAGTTCTGTTTTAAAAAGATGCATTTTAAAAAGATCATCTGTATCGAGTAAAACCATTATACCCTAAGATAAAGTTTAACATTTTGGTTAAACTAGCATATAATGCTAGTTTTTACCTATCACCTGCCAGGAAAGAAAGAAAATGTTCAAAATTAAAGAAGCTAGCTCTCAGGACTGGCAGCATGACAGACTCCTGCCGGGCTCCCCCAGCCTCCTGCCAAGACTGGACTGATGACTTGATGAGAGATCTGATGGGAGGCAAAGCGAGGGTCTTACCTGCCAAATAGATACCAGGTTATCTACTGTGAAAGCTGAGTCTGGGAATAATGATGGATCTGTAGACCTGATAGACTAAATCACCCTTTCAGAGAGGGGTATGAAGAGAACACTATGGCAGCTGTCTACGCAGGCATCCAGATTATTTTTATGCTGCCTTAAATAGCATCTGCATGGGAACCTGCTATCGCACACATTACAAGTGCTATTGTTTGCTACTGTATCAACATAGCTTTCCAGTAAGAAAACTGGACATCGCAGCAGAAATGTTTTGTGGTTTAAAGAAGTTACTACTGAATTATTCTTCTAAATGGAACTGACAAATAAAGTGATGCATAAAAGGATGCAGTATGACATTTGGGGGAAGGTCCTAGTGATGCCTAATTTGCCTAGAACCAGTTTACTCATTACAGCCAAGAAAACCACGTATTTGCTCATCATATGCAGAGATACTGCCTAAGTATCTTAATGACAAGCTTCCCTAGCATTTTTTGCAAACCTGACATACTTTTCTCTCAGGTTCTGCAATTCTTTCTTCATATCTGCATCTTCAAATTCTGAGTCATTGTCGCTGCTCATGTATGAGGACTGCGAGTGGAAAGATGTTATGTTGATGGTAGGAATTTTCGTTCCTTGCCCGTTAGGTGAATCGAGGCCTGGCGAGCTAGCTTTGCCAGATCTTTGCAGAAAAGCAGCTGCTTTTTTAATTAAGTCAGTGGCTGTGCTACTGCTCGGGGGGGACAGTTGGGCAGCAGCAGCCGACTGACGATGGAAAGACTCATCAGCAGAATCACTGGAACCCTGGTCACAGAGGACATCGACAGAAGAGGCTGTCTGCACCCGTCGGACAGCTGTCTTCAGATCAGGGCTGGAAGGTAGCTCATCCAAATAGACGTCTGGGGGTGCCGAGAACCTTAAGCAGTGCGGTGCTGTTAAAGTTAATTCATCCTGCGTGCTGATTACTGAAAACCTGCCAATAGTTTTGGCTGGTGTACCACTATCGTGAGTTTTAGCCTGTTTTCCATAGGAACCAGAGTCTAGAGAGTCATCCCTTTGAAGGTTATTTATCACCCCATCTGCTGTAGATATCTGCATTACATTGTCTGTGTGTGCAGATGAAGTCACAGACTTTGCCTTCTCGCTCCTTTTAGAAGTTTCCATCTGTTTAGCTGTGTTTGATGATGTAGGTGCAACCTGGAGAAAATAATGGAGATTAATTCTGAAAGGAACCGTAACAATCAAGCATAAAACTCCTCCTAGGTTCTGGTTACCTGAAGGAGGCCTTTTCCTGTAGCAGCAGGAGCTGAAGCGATGCTTGCAGTTGAACCTGTTTTATAAGTTGGGAAAAAAACACAACCATATTCATGTCTGGAATGCTTTAGTATAATAAAAGTCAATGTATTTATTGTGATAAACTGAAGTGTGATAAAATGTAGCACTGAAGAATAGTTTAAATATTCAATCTTTGTAATACTGCCTCCTGCATTATAGATACTGTATCGATGACAATATGAAATATTTGCAGGTAGGCACTCTCTTCAATCTGTTGATTTGCAGAATTCAAATAATAATAGGAGTGTGAAATTTCATTAGTCAGTTGAAAATTTTTAAGGAGAAAACCAGAAGAAGAATGAAAGCTGCATGGTACATGGGGCCTGCATTCCTAAGGTGGTTCCTGATGTCTCGAAAAAGTAATTGTCCTCAGCTACTTGTGCATACAAAATGCTGCGGTTGACCACAGAAGGACTGGTATTTCATACCTTTCATTTGACAGATACTGATACCAACAATTAAAAATGTCTGAAATGAAGTTAAATGCACTTTGCTGAAAGTGAAAATTATAAGCTCAAAAGGTGGCCACTCTGACCACAGAAGCATGCAAGAAGAAAAACACTGGTAGCAGGGATTAAGACGCAATTATTCCACAACCTGGACAGTGGTTTTGAAGTTAAACCAATAAACTCAAGCTTTTCAGAAAACTGCTTTCTTATGGCATATTGCAGAGTGAACATAAGGCAAAAATCTGTCACTTCATAGGTCTGAAATGGTGAAATACATCACTGCTTGATGGTCTCCAAGATACATTAATTTTACCACACAGTGCTACATTCCACTTGCATACTGTCCTCTCATCTGTAACGAGACAGATGAATGCAGGCTACGCAGTTTTCCCCTCTCACACTGACCTAAAAGCAGCGGACGATCAACGTTCACCAGGACAAGAACGATCTGCGCTGTTGCACAAACCTGGCAGCCAGCTTTGCCATGACAATCTCAAAAAAACATGTATTATAAGCCCTCCCTGACAGCAGGAACAGTTTTGGGTTCCTCAGCCCTTAAAACTTCCTGCGACTTGCGAGACAGGTAAATGGAGCATGATAAATACCCAGTTTCTTACTATGGCTCCTACTATATTATTATAGAAAGTGCCGTTGTATCTACAAGTGCTTGAAGAAAAGTACTCGTTACTAGTTCTCTGTGGGACTTCCTTGAAAATCTTACTGGCTTCCCTCCCAGAGGGGCTAACAGAATCATGTCATTTCTGCCAAGACGTTTTATGAAACCTGGGAAATTCGAGGGACTTTCTGTTTGGACTTTTTCAGGGCACGGGAAATTTATTATTAGGAACATAGCCTTCCATGTGAATACCCTATATCTACACCTCAGACATGTATTACATATCTATGGTTTAAAATAAAACTGCCTGTGAGGTAGATTCTTTCTAGGAAGCTTGACAGAAGTGAGGTGTTTAATACCAGTTAGATTACAAACAGGATCAGAAATGCCTTGTGCTGGGCAGTGCTCTGCAGTTAACCAGAAGGGTGAGCAGCAAGGCGACACCAGAGAAGCAGACCACGCAGTAGTACAGAGGCATCACTGCCATTCAGCACTGAAAGGAGCATTACCTTTTCTGCTTGCTGACCCACCTCTTGCTTCTGAGGGATGAGCACTGATGCTGGTGACCTCCGACATTTCAAACTGCAGGTAAAAAGAAAAGGAATTTCAGTCCTAAACACAAAGCAGAAAGGCAATGCATTCTCCTTCCCTCTCTCTCCCTCTCTGCTTTCACACTATCATGGAATATTAAATTATTCTATAGTGTCTGTGGAGGTGGCCTTCCAGCTTTTCCTTCAACTCCTGTTTTTTTTTTCTCCCCTCCCTTGGAAGAAAAAAAAGCAGTGGCAGTGTCACAGAGGGTCCTGCAGCCTAAGTTACTAAAAAACAGGCACTGAATTATATAGATCAGTTTGGGGTTTTGTTCTGGTTTGCTTTTCTAGCCAGACACTCTTCATCTGTATGTCTGTCTTCAGAAATTATACGTCTCTTTTTTCTTATTGGAACAGATTTTAATAGGACAAATTCAAATTACTGGAGAAACTTAACACCTTTCATAGACAGATAATTTTATCTGCTGTAGAAAGTCATTTATCATTATAAACAATATGCTCTAAAGAGTTACTCAAGTGTAGCCGACTCTCCTGTATCATACAGCATCTTTCCAGCAGTTTATACAGTTCATCCAGCTGATGCTACACGAACAGCCTCATCCTTGCTAGTGGTGATGTAATTATCTCCAGAAATGCTAATTTCCAAGTAAGATATGCACTGATCTTCTAGCAGAAAGAGCTGCAAATCAGTTGAATTTCATGAACTTGGGATTTTATCTGAAAGAATGTAACATAGGAGCACAATCATTGAGTAAACGATGACTCTGACCACCTGCTCCAGTTTTCCTTAGATGCTTCCCAGTGAAGTCTTGCTCTGCCAAGTTCAAGGGGTCAGACAAAAGAATTCATTACTGGAAGCAGAGCAAGCTTCTACCTATGGAGTGTCTTCCTTTAGCTGAAGCACTTGAACAAAGCAAAGGCTCCTGAAGTGTTTATTTTATTCAGACTGACTTGGAAGGCAGGCATTATAATCACTGCCATTAATTTATACTAAAAAAAAATCCTATTGAAGCCTGATCATCTTCATCAGAACTTGAATGACTATACGCCTCACATGTTTTACATTCTTACACAACAAAAAAAAATTGTCACACTCCTGCCTGCTTTAGAAACAGGACACAAGAGCAGGAGAATGAATTAAGATATTATACCACTTTTAAACCCAAAGGAAATGTTTGGCTTTCACTAACAAGCATTCATGTAAAATGAGTCAGAATGCACCTGACAGTAAAAATTTAAGAGAACTTTCACATTGGAAAGCAGTCAATGGACAAATGGTAATATACCCAGGAGCAGAAACATAAAATGTTTTAGAGAAGCAAGAAATCTATACACGTCCTACCACCAGCTCGTTCGTTCTGAGCTCTGCTTTGCTCCAGTCCCTAACAGCTGGATTTGGGGGTATGGAGGGCAGTTTTGTTGCCAGACTAACCAGTATTGGGTAAGGTGGTATCTCAGATGGTACGAGTGGCACTGACTGGGCCTCGGTAGTAGCTTTCACCTCCTGGTCGGTATCTGCAACATTATGGCCTGGTTCTCTCAAATCCAATGCCAACGTGGGAACTTGATCTTCAGGAAAAGGTGGCAAGTTAAATTCACTGTCACCCTGTTCCAATGGGACAGAGGTGTCTGGAGTCCCTGCTGATGCAGAAGAAGTAGGAACATATTCCTGGTAAAGTAAATTGCGCAACTTCTCATCAAGGCTTTTTATTGTGTTGTCAACAAAGTCCACCCTGGGTGGTCCCTCTCCGTCGGACTCAGCGGTGCTTGGCTGCTGCTGTTGCAGCAGGCTGATCCCCATACCAGCGCAGGCCACGGGCTGTGCCTGGGACAACATCGTGTGCTGCTGGGATGCGGCCGCTGGCACCTGAGTAGGGCTCTGGAGTTGAGACCCTGCCAGAGCGAGGGGATCAGATGTGCCAGCCATGGGGAATGTTTGGTTCATGAAGGAGTGCTGCACCACACCAGGCTGGCCGGCCTCTGGCAGGTGAGGGACCTGCGCTGCAGGCTGCCGTTCCAAAACAACGGCATCTGGGAGCACAGGGAGTGGGCAGAGCTCCGCTGCCTTCACAGGAGCTGCTGGGACCAACTTGTGCGGCCCGACGCTGCAACATGCTATCTCCACGTCAGGAACACATGTGCCCTCGTCAGCCTGTGGCTGCAGGTGCTGAGGAGTGGGGAGAGCGTCGGAAGGCTCCTCCAGCAAGGTGGCACGGGGGGCAGGAGCAGCCGGCTGAGCAGGTATCGCTGCCTTCAGTGGAGAAAACTCCAGCTGACTGTCGTTAGCAGCTGCTTGCTCCGGGACATTTGGAACAGATCCTGGCACTGCCGGAGCTGGAAACTCCACTTGGCTCAGTAAGCCAGCGGAAGACGCTGTGGCAGGAACTTGTGCCAAAGACGGAGGGGCTCCAATGGGGCTGTCACATACACCTGCTTGAAGGGAAAGCTGCTGACCGGCTAAGACTCCAGGTGGATCTGTCACCGCAGAGCTTGCTTGCTGATCATCTGACTGGTCCAGGTCTAGAAAAGAACACAAACATCAGCTTAACTTCTTCACGAGCCGCACAGAATGAAAGTCACTACAAAACCTCCTGTCTAGCTGCTGTGATAACCACATTTAGCTGTAACCCATTACTGCTTCCCATCAGAAAATAACTGTTATGCAAGTCAAATTAGAACCTAAAATTGGAGATTATGGAAAAATCTTTCACTGAAAAGACAATGTTTATCAAAACAGCAGTGACTAGGATTTCAGCTACCTTATAGCGTAAGGCAGAGTTAAAATACTGAGACTTCCCTGAAACACAAATAAACAGTCCTAATTTGTTTCCATACCAGGAACACACTTAAAATGCATGACTTAAACTCATCATTTTCTTCCTCTGACTAAATGAAGTGAAACAATCACAACTAAGTCAGGTGAGAACAGAAGGAGAGATGACACTGCATCTTCAGAGAAGAAAACATTTTCTATAAAGTTTGTAAATACCTGGCCCTTCAGACTGCTGTGTACTCTGAGGTACCGGTGGAGAAAATTCTGGTGCATCAGTAGTAGCGTTTTCCACAACAGGACATATAATAAACCACCTTTTCCCAGTATGCAAAACTAGAGATGAAAAGAAAAGAAGATGAAAAGTAAACACAATAGTTTCCATTCATTCCAGATCATCTGTCAAAACCTAGTCTTAATTTCCATGTTTAGAAAGAAAATCAGAACTTCTACGGTACTAGCCAAGATTAAATCAATGGCTACTAATTTGATTCTCATCCCTTCTGGAAGGGAGACAGTGATGCCTCCCAGTTCTGCCATGTATTTCAAGTTATTCAAAAGTTTGTTTTCAAGTGTTCATACTTTCAGAAGGGTAGTAGTTACATACATAAACATTTTTTTAATGGTACCATGGACAGTGTTCTCACAATGAAAAATCTGTTAATTTTGTAACATTTATCCAGTTTAACTTTTCCATGTTCAAAGTTTTCTAGCTAATATTTCTTTCCACATCTTCTCTCAGATTTACCTGGCACTGGTAAACAGCACACCAGAACTATACACACTTTGTAACTTCCATTAGTAGAAATATAAATGTTATGTTAAAAAAGGTGTATGGAGAAAATCATATGACATTTACAGGCAAAAAATAAACCAGAACTTTTGAGCAGAAAGTCTAGTTTGGAGGATTCCCAGTTTCTGCACTTATCAAAGAAGTCCTAGATTATCCTTCTTCCCCTACCAGCATGGAGCGAATACATAGCGTCACACAAAGTAACAAGAATTTTGGAAACAATGCTTCCTTCAGCAGAGGTTTCATTTTTCCCACGAGCATGCACTTACAGAGGGAATCAAGGGCCAATTCCCTTCCCATTCCATTTGTCTGTAAAACCCATAAGATACAATTGCGTTCAGAAGGCGAAGATCCCCTCTGTAATACCAAAGTAGCCGAAAACTTATGGGTTAGAAATTTCAATTAAATTACCAACGCAAACACAATCTTTTAGCTTTCTCGTGCAAATGTAGTTCTTGTGAAAACAGTGTGCTTGCCTGTACCTTCTTGACTTTTCCACTGCTGGTTATCAACTTGTGTAATTCAGGTCTTCCCTAAACATCCCGAGATGTTAGATTCATCCATGTTAGCCCTGCCATCTTCCAGGCTGCTAACAGCAGGGACCACTCATATACCCATATTTCTAGATGTATTTCCAACCACCAGTAACTGGTGGATTTCTTCCTGACTCTAGCAAACTTCTGCATAAACTCATCACTGCCTTAAAGCTTGCGATTAAGTTTGTATTCAAAGGCACATTTACCATTTTGTTGATACACGGGTGTCTTCATTTGAGACTGCCGCTTCTCCTGTTAAAAAAACAAAACCAAAACAATAGAAGAACTAGCTGTCTTGTAGCAATGCAAGAGGATCATCATTCCAAGGAGTACTCATACTGTAAGCCTTAATGAAGCAAAAGCATTATTTTTCTAGCCAAGAAACATTTTTCTTTTTTAACACAGGATGCAAAACTAATTTACAGTAACGTGTTGTTCAGAAAAAGGAATCAAACCAGCAACCTGTATTTAACACTTCTTACCTCGTTCATTTCTAGTCTATTGGTATCTTGCTGGGGACTCATTCCCTGATCAGAACTTCGTTCTCCTTCTGTGTCTTCACTGAGCATATCTTCTGCTTTATCAATAATATCTTTCATTTGTTCAATAAATGTCTCTTTTTCACTCTGTAATATGAATTCATTCTCTACCTAGAAGGTCACATCAAAATAAAGCGGAAAACAGTAATGTTTCCATTAATGCCCTGTTCCACAGCTACCAGAAAGCTCGATCAACAAGCACAGATGAAAATAAGTTGGCTGAAGCAAACTGGTGCATTAAGAGACTGCAGGCAGCCGTATCGCCAAGTCTTACCATGTAAGTAGCAATTTCCTCTGGTGCATCGCCATCCAAATCAAACTTAAACGTCACCATTTTGTGATTGTGTGTTTCAAGCTGGCACTCCACCATCTTATCCCCTGTGTTACAAACCTGCAGGCAAAGATTAACAACAGTTATTTCTGGCAAAGCCAGAGGAATCCTAAAGTTACTCTCAAAGAGGTTGTACTTGCATTTAATATGGTCAGTTTTGGTCTGCTGGACTTCTCCTGGCGTGAACGAGCGCGTGTAGATTTCTTATGTTTCTTTGAAGACTTCCCTTCTTGTTTTCCACTCCCTATTGCTCCTTCAAAGCTGTCACTCATCTCTTTACTTGAAGCAACATCCGGACTCATGTAGCTTTACAATAGAAAGGAAGAAAAACCCCAAAATAAAATCACCGTCATACACGATGGAGTTATGCACAGGTAAGATACACAGCAACAGAGGCTGAAAAAAAGAAAAAGTGGACATCTGCACTCTTTTGGAGCAAACTGAGCTAGCTACTGAAAGATGCTCAGTAAGCGAAGGGAACTACTCCAAGTCAGGCACGTACGCTGGCTACCACACCTACTAAGAAATGATCTATTAACATTTCTGCCAATACCACAGGGAAAGTCCCATCACTCTTAATATACCACTACATCCTCCTAACCCCTTCAGCTTCAGGGATCCTCACAGTATCTCTCTGAACTGCCCAAGTTCGTATTTTTCTAAGGTCCAGTTTTCTCATCTCCTGCCTGTCTGCACTCAGAGCAGAAGGTCTAAACAGGGTCAGTTTATGTTTGTCGGAGATGAAGCAAAACAGTGAGAAGCCGATACAGCATCCAGTAAGAGACTGCCTCTCCTCCCTCTGCTGTTCTCAAGGATCAGAAAGGTTTTATGCCACAATATCCCAGATGACCAGCTAGCAACAGTATATTATTTTTAGCAGCCAAAACAGTAGCTGCTAACAACCTTACTGTAATATGACATGTACAGAAAATGTCAACATGCAAGTAATTTGCAGGAAATTTTCAGAGGTTCATAAAAACCATGTCAGGAGGAACCTTGTAAGGCCATCTGGCCTATTTATTACCCCAAGGTATGATCAGCGATGCCCAGTCCTCACAGAGGTTTGTGTAAACTGGTCTTACAAAGCTCCCGTGAGACTTCATAACCTTCCTGGACAATTTATTCCTGCGTTCATTTAGCCACACAGGCATAAAAGAATTTAAGCCTAACGTATGGATTCCTTTCTTAAATTTAAGGCTTTTACTTCTTGTCCTGCTCTAGTTGCACAGAACAGCTTTCTACTACCTTTGCAGCTACCTTGTGTGTAACTCGTATGTTAGGAAAGTGAAGGTATTTTGCAGCACACAGGATATACTCTAGCTCACGTCTTTGCTGCAATTGCCAGCCGTTCGATTCACGTGCCATTACCCTCCACTCTACAAAAGCAGAACCCAGCTCCAGTAGCGAGTTACCTATGTACCTGGAAAAGAGAGACTTTCCTCTATGACTACGAGACGTGTGCTGACACAGACTCTTGTGCTGATGCAGTCACAGCAGTCAGCTTTTCAAACACAATTCTGGAACAGGCAAATTTGAATTCAAAAGATTACTGGAAATTTGATGTGTCTTTCTACAACAGACTAGATAGACTTATTTATGGCCAGAACTAAACTATAGCCACAAAAAATTAGATTTCACTTTCCATGCAGTACTTAAAAGCAGCAAATTCTTAGGAAACAATGTTCCATTTTAAGATTGCAGGGTTGTACCGACTTGAGTCAGGCTAACTTTTTTGGGTGGGGTAGAATGAAAACAGTAAGAGAGAGGTGTCTTCAAAAGTTCATAAACTTAAGTCATCTTGTGTATTCAGGAAAATAGAAAAGGGTCACTAAAATCCTAACCCCAAAGCTTTATAATCAATAAGGATGAGGTTGGTGCTGCTTTTGTTTCTGAGGAGTGCTGAGCTGGCTCTGGGGGTTACTTGTTACATCTGTCAGCACTACTAGGCTTCAGTGTGACCTTGTGCATTGCAAAACCCAGAGTGGGCTCTGGCCACGTGTTCTAACACTTGTTATAATGATGCCTTTGAGTGGCTCAACACACGACTCTCATCAATACACCGTTCCCCATAACATACCTGGGGAAAGATCATTACCAAAGGTGATACAGGCATACCCAGTTTATTCTCAAAGAGGGACTAAACTATATACCAAATTATACTAGCATAGCATGCTTTTGTACAGATTCAACAGCATCAAAACCAGGGACTGTATCACTTCAGTTATCGTAACAAAAAGAGAAGTTATGTGCTGAAATGAAAGCTGTTGTACGTACATCAGGGCTAGGATGCAGCACCCAAACTAAAGAATTAAGAGAGTTGAAGGAGCCAAAATAGGCACACTGCACACAGAATATTTGCAGCTTTCTTCCTAGACGTGCACCCTTCCATCTTCTCCTGGCCAGCTCCTGCTACTCTTCTCTAGGCCAAGGCAAAGGCCAGGCATTTGGCCCAGCCTTGTAAAGAGAGAGATGAAAAAAAGCCTCTGGAAAGAAAACATTTCTTATGTCAAAGAGATTATAATGATACCTTTCACAGCTCTGTGACAGATTTTGAAGTTTCTCCTGTATTGCCTGCTCCTAAAATGTAAGAAAAAGTAATTTAAGTAAATGCATTGTATTGGCAGATGAAAAAAAACCTTTAAGAAAGTTTTTGCTGTTGAGACATCAGTAATCCTAAGCCATTCTGTTTAACCAATTCTTGGAACTCAGAAAAAAAGAAACGTTCTGTTTTACCCTCCCGACACTACTTCTATGCAAAGCATCAGTATTTGTGTGCAATCACTTTTTAAGACAGAGCCATTAATCTGCTAGTTCCCTTCTGCTGTCTCTGAAGCAGAAGAGGTGGCGAAAGAAACAAAACAGTTCTCACCACAATGGAAAAACTTGATTGCAGGACAAATCCACACCAGTACCTACCTAATTTTATTCTTGAACAGATATAAAGTAGAAGCTAGTTTGCTTCATTGCTTTGTATAGTTTCCTGAAATACATTAAGTATTTTAATTGTATTTGGCTTATTGTAAAAATTTCTGGGGAACTTACAAATAAAAGATGAAAATTCATAATTTAAAAATGCAGCCCTCACTTCATGTCCTCTTGCTTGCTACACGATAGAAATTTTCCCTAAAAGCTTCCCTCTTCACTGGCTGCAACGCTAGGACAGACATTGACAGCATGACTTTCGCATTGGGTAGACCTGTTTTTACAGAATTTGTGATGACGATGCTACTGGCCCTACTATAACAAACTCATCATATATGTACACAGACACACACACCTGTGCGTGTATATACTGTGTATGTATATACACACACGCCAAATATATTA